TTCAAGTGAGTCTTTGTGAGTCTGCGTGCTGTAAATGAGGTAAAGCTTTAGGAATGTGGAAGATGGTACAACCTGAGACAGAAAAACAGGCCGGAATGTGAAAAACAACATATGCAAAAAGCTGAATGGTGATTGGCGAAGAAGCCTCTAGAAGCTTCCAGGTTTTGGTCAAAGCCCGCCCATTGATAGAAGAAGAGAAGTCAAGGTCTTAGACATGCGCTCATAGCAAAAAGATACGTAAATGAAGGAAATGCATAGGCAATTCCATGCTAATGAAGCAAGCAGTAAACAGAGGCGGAGCTTGAGATGGGAGGAGAAATAGGTGGAACCAAAGGAGGAGTGAGAGTGGAATAAATGGTTGTGAGTATAAACCAAAGTGTATAAATGTGGGAAAAAACTATTGTTCAGGGCGGCTCCCCGGTTTGTCGGTTGTTTGGGAGCTCGCCCAAGGCCGTCTCCATTCTGAATCAAGGTGTTGTGAGCAATGTGTGCTGGTGTTTGCTCCCGGCCTGCTCTGGCTAATGAGTAACAGGATCCACGGGCAATTGGATCGTCACCGCCCCAGTCATTCGGCACTGCATGGAGTCAGGGTCTATCATGAATGACTGCGTTGGAGTCCTGAGCTGCGTGGGAGACCATGTTTTTTATTCTGGACCATTTTTTTAAATAAAAGGCTTGTGGTGTGAGAACGGGGAAGAAATCCATGGGAGGGGGGAACACGCATCCCTCATGATTTCACCACTTCTATTCCAGGACCGGGTGAAAAAGTGTCAAATGACTGCTTTGAAATGTTCGTGGCAGAAATCATCAGCGCTGGAAGTTTTATTTTTTTGTGGGGAGGGAGGAACGTGGCCAAAACTAGTTATAGGGCCTTCATTATTATTTTTTTCTTACTTAATCCAACCCATCTAGCAACAGATTTGACATCTAAAGATACCAGTGCCCCAAAACAGACATTTGTCCCCTATCAGCAGCACGACCGCCGCCCAACTCAATGTGCGCAGAAGTCCGGGGCTTCCTCCTCTGCCCTCTTCCCCCACGTCTCCATCCCAGGTAACCCCACGTTTCCACATCTCCACAAATCTGGTGTCTCCTGCAACACGGGCCACAAACCATCCTCTACTTCCACCCGTATCGAGCCCAGCAGCGTGTCTAATGGAAGGATTTCTGCAATATGGCCGGGGCATTGTAGTAGTGATGGGTCTGAAGAAGGGGCGTTGGGCCCAAACGTTTGTCCTCCGGCTCTCCCAGTTGGTCCAATAGAGATACCACAAAAAGCCCATTACGGCCTCTGTAGCCACTCTCCCAAAAAGGCCTCCAGCCCCTAGCCGAAGACCTCAGGAGATGGAGAATTTCTAATTTTCTATTCCTTATTGTTTCCACTCTCTCTAGTCTTCGTACATTGACTTCCTTCCGCTGGCACGACGTGGCCAGATCCAAGCTCACATGAAATCAGCTGAGGCTAAAATTGTCCTCCCTACCTGCTAATGAAGGTGCTTTATGATCATTTGGCGATGAAAACTTATGCAAGTGTTTTTCTTTTCCCACTCCCTTCATTCCTGGCATCCTAGCCACTGCCCTTCTTTCACAACTGGGAATTAATTGCCGGCCTTGAGTTTCAAGGCCAAGCGTGGGTGGATTATCCTGTTGCCACGACTCTATGCTATTAGCAATCATGTTCATCGGTGTGCCCTTCTCCTGGCATCCATTAATGTTTAAAGACGATTGCTCGACCCGTTGTGTTTATAGTTGCTATGTGTTCTATTACTGCAATCTACAACCTGGTTAATCTTAATTAGTAACCTTTTCTGGCTTAATTATAAACCGAGCACAGGGAACCTCACCCCGTGCACCACACTTTCTCCATCGACCTGCTGTCCTACCTACATTATCTGTCTGGATCAAAACCTTTGCTGCCCAACAGAAAGTTTTCAGGCAATCACGCTTATCATAAGACCACGGTATCCAGGGTCAGCTTCCCTCTGGGCTTTCCCAGGGCAGCTCGGTCTCAGCGAGAGTGCAAGGCTTCCCTCCCAGGTTTGCTGAGAGTTGCCATAGACTGAGTGGTCAGAAAGTTTCTGATGGCATTTCTCCACCGCCCTTGCTGACATGACAGGAGGTGTTATTCACCTTTCATCAGTGAAGGCCTGAATTCATTGCTGGCTTCAGCCTTTAGTAGGTGTGACGGGTCCTCTGTGCAGGACTGAATCATAACCCTGCACAACAGGACCGAAGTGCATCAGTGGAGGTGCGTGGGGCTGGGGATGGACATAGCAGGGGGTGCTGAGATACCCCAGAGGCCCAACAAAGGGATTTTGGGGAAGGGGTGTCAGGCAGACCAGGGCTGAAGTGCGCTGGAGAACTATATTGAGCTTGTCATGGGGGCAGGACTGAAGTGAGCCACTCCTAATCTTGTTCCCATTGGGTGTATCTATCCATGCATGCATTTATGCCATGTTAAATTTGCTGCATAGTAAATTACTGCGCACTAAGCGGGAACAGGCCAGCGTCTACACATTGTTACCGGATTTGCCCATCGCTTTGGGGTGCGCTCATTTCTTAGGGATACGTTTCTAGGGTCTCTGTAATTCTATCAATGGGCTGGTTGTGTCTCTATACAGAGCTGTATCTCTCCCTTCTGCAAGTCCTCACCCACCAAGGAGCTATCTTGCAGGACTCAGTTTCAACGGGGCTGGGTTCCTCCAGCCACCGAATCAGTCAGATACACACGCACAGATTAACGTGACACGCCTGACCCGGCCGGGTTGATCAGCATGGACAGGCTGACACCCTCGTGTGCCAGGAATCAGTGCATTAAGGTAACAATAATTGCAGTCAGACACAAGCACACAGGTGAACAGAAGACCTCTGCATCCGGCTGGCTGTCCAGCTGACCCCCTCATGGGCCAGCATTCAGTTCATTAGGGCAGGTCTGATCCACCCTGGGTCAACCAGCCTGTACAAGCTGATCCCCGTATGCGTCTCAAACTCAGCACGTCCCAATCTTTTGCCCTAACTGTCCTAGTAGTGGTAGCCTCTTGATGAGAGGGCCCCACAGTATTTTGGGGGATCTTTGACTTAGGTAAAAGAAGCGTTGCTGCAGACCAAGTGGGGAAGGGGAAGTAGAGAAGGAAAAATGCACCCGGTTAGCACCAATCTGACTATAAAAGTTATTTATTGCTAAGTATATCGATAGTAGGCATGCAAGGAAAAACAAACAAAAACAATTGCAATATTACCCCGGTTCATTTGAGTATTTGGGGAAACCTAGCTCAAGCTTAACTAATAAAATTCAGGTTCAGAAAGCTATGCGTAGAGAGGAAAAGGGAAAGAGAGAGCAAGAGCTGGGATCTCCCCATTTCAAGGCACTCAGGCATGTTGTCGACAGGCAAAGTTCCCAGCACGATCCTTGAAGGTTAAACAGGCGATGGAAAGAGAGGATCTGTTTCTCTCAGCTTCTCAAAAACAACAGCGGATGGTGTCAGAGAGATTTCTCCCTCTTGAAACACACTGTTTGCTGCTTTACAGCTTTCTTATACCCTTAGTCCAGCCTCTTCCAAGCATCCTTCTAACTGTGTAAATCAAGAGGGTCCCAAGCCATCATCAACAGGGAAAATCCTGACATAAAAAGTTTCAATTTAAATGAATGACCTTTTTCAGTGACAAGGGGTTACCTGGTTTGGAACATCTCAAGAAACACCCAGGAAAAACATCAAGTTTTAAGGAGTAACCAGACACGTAGGAGCCAACTTGAAATGATTTTGAATATAGAAGATACACTGGAAGGTCTTCTCAGGTGGCCCAGCCACGCTTGCACTGTGAAGTCAGCATCAGGGTTTTTTGTATTTCCCCTGTTGTGAATAAGCCCCAGCTTAGCATGACTTTCAGATCTTGCCGTAGCCTTTTAACAGACTCAAGGGGGTGGATTACTTGTAGTGTTCATAAACTTTGCAGAGAGGACTTCCATCAGTCAGCCTGGGAAAAGTATGACAGCATTTGTGGTCAGGGCTCCCCCGGGCTGGACATTGTGATGAACCCTGAGCCATTGTTCAAATGTTGCTCATACCCCTGTGACTTGGTCTCCTGCCTCGGCATGCCCTAGCCTGGCAACCGAGTCTTAGTTAAACAAGTTTAAATAGGCCTCCCATACTGGGACCGGGGAATGGACAGCCCGAGATGCCTATTAACCTTTTCTTCTGCTTAGTTCTGGTTAAATGGGGGGGAGGGGGGATAGGAAAAGTCCTTTGTAAGTCCAGCAAGCTGGGTGCCAGGCCTCCCTCAGGAAGACAGAGCTGACAGGTAACAACGTGCAGGCATTAAAGCACTGTAACGCTGCGTGTGGACTGACTTGGGTCTAAAGTTAGCCCCTAGTCACTCCATGCACACAATGTTACTGCTCAGTAAGGCGTCTACATGTGCGTTACTGCATAGTAACTAAGCAGGCATAGATTTGATACCTGTATGATGCAGGTATCAAATTTACACTCAAGTCAGTGTAAGTCGCCATATTTACTGCACAGTACAGTTGTGCACATGTAGATGCATGCCCGTACTGCACAGTCATTTCGGTTACTGTGCGGTAATGTGCACGTGTAGATGCGCCCAGTGAGAGCTGTTCTACTGGCTTGAGCAGGGGACAGACTGAGACTATGCTCCAGGTGATCCTAACTGGCGTGGTCTGACCCTTTTCAAGTGTAGAGACCCAGAATTCACGCTAGACTAGGAGCTGGGGTCGGATCCATCATTTACTCTGCAGGAGATGGTCCCACATCCCACTGAAAGGCAACATGTCTTGCATTGCTAAATCCTTTGGGGGGCTTTAGCATCTCTTTCCCTGCAATGCGCATGCAGCCCCTAGCACATCGGGGACTGGCTTGGTGGGCCTACGGGTGCTGTTGAGATGGAAATGCTCCCGGATAACTATCAGATCCCGGTCAAGGATGCTGAGGGGTGGAGACCCCTTGTCTCCCTTCCACTCTGGGACAGAGGAAGGACTCTACCAGGAGCCTAGGATATGTGGGTGTTAAGTGACTCTCCCAAGGTTGTGCGGGGAGTGAGTGGCAGAGGTCCCTGCCACCCAGGAGCAGGCTTCTGTCACTGTCCAGACAAATGCCTTCCTGGGAAACACACACCGAGTTTATGGAAATGGGAGACTCCCCCCTAGCTTGCTCCTGTGGCCATATGGCTGAGGGCAAATGAAACGTGGGGGCATCCAAACCCCAAACCTCCGGGCTTGGGCCTGCACATAGGATGCCCGCCAAAGGATTTGGAAGTATCTGAAGCCCCAGGAGGGGTGGGGAATGCTTGCCGGGAGCAGGGCCGCATATGGTGTTTGAATGATTCACATGGACTTGGACTTGATTTGGCTGATTTGACTTGGGATACGAAAAATTTTCCATAAAAAACCCAACACAACAAAACACACGCTTAAAGGGGCATAAATCTCCAGCTGGGTCACCTCCTGCTAGGAGAGACGCCTCCCCTTCCCACACCCTTTTTGTCCCAGAGCTGTGAGAAGTCCCTTTATCAGCCTGCAAACATTTGCTGAGCTCTTGTTTCTGGATACGGCACCGGTCACTGCCAGGTCCCGGGTACAGCCCCAGTGACGGCGAGTTTCCAGAGAAACATTGATAAGCTGCTTGCACTTGTTCTGGGCTGGACAGCACCTGCAACTGCTGCACTTTACAGTGGCAATGATGCATAACACAGCAGAAACCGAGGGCATGGTCCAGCTGGCTCCGTGCTCTGTCATGAGGGTCTCTAAGGGACTGAAAAGAAATGCCCCTTCCTGCTAAAATACAGGGGTGAATGGTTGCAGATGCCTCCTCTGCCTGAAGAAGGGTGTTTGTACCCAAAAGCTTTCAAAGAAGACTTTTTCCAACTATTTTAGTTGGTCTAATCAAAGATACCAGGTTTACCCAAAGAACCTTGTCTGCCCCTCACATCAGGGGATTTTCATCCCTTTGCATTGCAAGGGGTTGCATCCAGGTTCGACACTGCTTGCAGGGTGGTCACGGCCCCCGGACCCTGTTCCCAGCCACCCCTTGGGTGATGGGATGCCAGATTGCAAATCCCCTTCAGGAACACCACCAGTACGACATCTTTTTTGGGCAGGTTACAGGAGAAAACAGGTGCTGATTGTGAAATGGGTGACCCCTACAAAGAGGGAGGTTGGGGGCAATCCATATTGCTGGGTTTTGCTGAAACTTCGGGTCAAAAATGGCAAGCGCATAGCTCTTCTAGTAGTCATCGCCTGCCTTCAGGAAAGTGGGTTTTATATCACCAGCAGCAATGTGATTATGCCAGGACCGGACTTGGGGGAGCGAAGGTCATCCAGCGTTATGAGTTCGGGGGAAGGCCAAATATCAGCGACTGCGATCACATGATGCCAACATGCAAGCTGCTGACTCTTTTCCCGTTTATACTCGTTATCTCTTCCCACCTGCACCCTGGCACAGAGCTCACCCGACTGAGTCCTGATTACATTGCTCTCATGGAAATGAGGCCCAGCATCTGCTCTTTAAGAAGTATTTTGACTCCGTCTGCGTTCTGGGAGCTGATCCGAGCATGAGAAAAGCTGGCAGTATCGCTGTGATGCCAGGGATTTCCAAAGATCAGTCATTTTCCTACAAGCTCTGTTCACCTTGTCGTGTTCGCTCTGAGAAAAGCGTCTTTTACCCACCCACCTGCATCCATCCAAGGTGCAATATAAAACCATTGGAGTTCTCTTCATTGCAAAAATGCGAATGACTTGGAAATGCTGCATCCTTTGCAATTCTCCCTTCATTGGTTTTAATGAAAGGCTTGAACACGAAAAGGGTTTTTTGGACGTGAATCATTTTTTATGCAAAAAAACCCAAAGTTGCCTTTTCTGAATAAAGTCAAAACAAAATTTTAAAAATGTTATAGGCCAGAATGATCTTTCACGGTGTCTTTGTGGCTGGTAATTGTGTGAGAAGGTTGTCCCTGCAGTTTGGAGAATAGGTGGGATATGCGTGTCTCTAGGATGGTTTGATCCTGCCTTGAGCAAGGGGTTGGGCTAGGCCACCCCCACCCAAGGACCCTTGTACCCCTACTCTCCTATGAGCCCAGGAAAGGCTGCAGAACAGTGATAGGCAAACATTTCTTAGCTGGAATTTGAAATTAAATGTTAACAATGCAAAAAATGGGGCTAAAAATGTACGGTAAAAAAGCAAATATTGGCACGTGCTCTTTTTTTCTTCACAAAAATGCTTCTATAGGTTTGAAATAGGGGCTTCATCCTTTCTTCCATCAACTCCCTCTGGCCCTGCTCTCGTGCTGACGCTTGCTCAGCAATGTCCAACCTCTGTCCTGGAGAAAAGACATTGCCGTCTGAGCAGGGCCCAGAGAGCTGTCGATCCCATGCGGTTTGCACACGGCTTGGTCTTGTTCCCTTCATGGGGGTGTTATTGGGCATCTTGCTTGGGTTTTCGCCTGGCTTGGGTTTCGGCTCTAAGCAGCTGCTATCCATCCACAAAGTCGATCTCCGGGCCTCCACGAGGGTGATGCAGTCGTGAGTGATGGAGAGGCAGAGCTGGGGATCCCGAGGAGGGTGGTGCAGCTCTGGAACGGGTTACCCAGAGAGGTGGTGGGATCTCCATCCTCGGAGGCTTTGAAGACCTTCACAAAGCCTTGGTGGGGATGGAGTTGGGGCTGGTCCTGCTTGAAGCAGGGGGTTGGACTAGATTTGACCTCCTGAGCATCCTCATTTTCTATGAGTCAATAAGATGCCATAAACTCATGCTCCAGTACCATGCTGGCCACATGGCTAAACCCCAGCAAACAGCCGGGCAGAGCCTGGTTTCACAGGCAGGGGTAGGAGTGCCGCCTGCTTTGTGCAAACGCCTCTGTAACAGGAGGAGCACTGGCAATAGCACGCCTGTGTTGGCTTGGAGACCAGTCCGGTGTGATCCTATGGATTATGTAAGGGATACATGGCTCTTTGTTATAGTCGTGTCTGTCGGGCTTACGCTGGGCAAACGCAGGAGTGTCAGTCCCTCCCTGCAGCACCCGCAGCCTCAATCCCGAAGTAGGGACAGGGAAGAAGGGACGCTCCTGGTATTTCCCAGAGGGAAAGCCAAAGTCTCGGGGCCCAGGCTGCACCGGAGGGTGTTACCCCAGTTAAAGAGGGAGCTAGGACAGGCCCTCGCCACTCCTGGTGAGACGATGCTGCCAGTTGAATGGTGCAAAGACCACAAGCCAACAGCCCACCCAAGCACGGGGCTTTGCCAGCAACGCTAACTGGCCTGGCTCTGCTTTCTGCCCTGATTGCCTTCCTCGGTCTGCACTGGTCGGGGCCCATAAATGTCCCCCCACCCCGTCTCCTTCCCGGTGACGAGGCCAGTAACCCAGCCCTGGAGCCCAGCCCCGTGGCTGTGAACCGCAACCGGGCAGGTGTTGGCTTCTCGTCCTGTTTGCATGGAGCTCTTGGCAAGGATTTGACGGGCCTTTTTCTGCTTTTTAAATCCCGGATAACTGATGGTGTTTGAGTTGTATTGTGTAACAACCCCCCCAGCCCTTCGCTGTTAGGCAATGCTGCGGCTGCCCTTTCCAACTCAAGAAATGGGTATACAAAATACTGCTAACGTGCACTAGCAACGGCAAACACAGGAGCCTAGGTACACATATGCAAATCTGTTTCCAGCAGGTAGCTGGCCCCACTGGTTTCGGCATTGGCCTGTGGGCTGTATCGATTGAAAGCTTCCTTGTTCTCTATTGTGGTCCATACATCCCTTCATTTGGGGTGTATAAGAGCACCCAGAAGTCTCTGGCAGCTTGCAGGTGTTGCAGCGACCTGTCCGGTGTCTGCATGCTCCCACCCAAGCCTGCGGGCTTGGCTGAATGCAAGGAGGAAGGCGTTTCTTTGGGCTCCTGCATTTGTCCCTGTCCCAGTGCAGAACATGCTCATGAAAAACTGTCAGGGGCAGGCAGGGAGGTGCTGATTTGCATGGTGACTTGTAAGGCAGGGCTGCTGAAAGCAAATATCAACCACCATGCGTGGTAGATAAAGCAATGCCCCGGGGCGCCCAGGTGCTGGGCGGTAGAGGAGCACGACCGGAGGAGGCAGCCCCGTGCTCAGGGACCCCTCTCCTTCCTCGCCCAGGGGATTTCCTACGTGACAAAGCAATTTTGAACATCCCCCTTCCCCATCCACTGACCAGGAAATACTTTGCAGAAATCCTGGCTCTGGGGGCCTGTGCCCCAGGGCAATAAGGAAATGTTCTTGCCCCTAACGTTTTTCCCCTCCCTTGTAACACACCCTGTGTCAGCCCGGTATCGGGGTGGGGGCATAATCCTCCCAGCCACGGCTCCCTTCCTTCATTTCCTCTCCCCCTTGGTCTCCCACGGGGCAGCAAGCAGCCCCATCCTCCCTGCCCCTCTGGCCTGCAGGTGGGGGGCCACAAACTCTCCATCCAGGAGGTCACTGCTTGGCTGTGGTGTCCACCACGTGGCTTTCCAACCCCTCGCCCCATAGCAGCCCCTGAGATGGAGCAATGGTCCCCAGCCCGTGGCTTATGGCTACCTCCCTCGAAGCCACAGATAGGGTCTGCAACCCCCAGGAACGTGTTTCCTTGCAGCTCTGGCCTGGCGAGTGCTGGATGTTGCTGAGCCTGGAGCCAGCATTGCCAGCTTGAGAGGTTTCATCTCATGACATTAATGACTGAATCTATTCCAGGACATTTCATCGCATGATGTAATGACATTAATGACCGATTTACTGTGCTCTAAAACTCATTCGCTATGGTGCCGACCCTTGTGCTGCGGTGGAAATAAGGAACGTCATATGATTCATCATTTCCTATTTTAAGCCTATTGCATAAATAAACAAGATAAGCAACTACTTGCTCTCCTGCTTGCAAGTAGTAAAATCAACCTGGTTGGCCTAGTGGAGACATGGTGGGATGAAACTTTTGACCGGGCAGTAGACATCGAGGGCTATAGGTTGTTTAGAAGAGATAGGAAGGGGAAAAACGGTGTGTGGGGGGGTTGCACTCTATGCTAGGGACCAGTATACCATCTCTACCTCCCAAATGGGGCCAGAGGAAGACTTAACTGAGACCTTGTGGGTCAAGCTCCAAGGAGGGCGGGGAGAGGGATCTGGTGGTAGGGGTTTACTACAGGCCACCACATCAGGAGGGAGAGCTGGATGTGCAATTCTCCAGGCAGCTGGGGGAGGCCGTGCGTGCAAGGGATGTTGTGGTCATGGGGGATACGAATTACCCTGGCATCAGCCGGGAGGAGCAGTCGGCCAGGTCGAGCCACTCACGAAGGCTCCTGACGTGCATCCAGGACCTACACCTCGTGCAGGAGGTACTCGTCCCCACGAGGGAAACGCCATACTGGATCTGGTGTTAGCCTCTGGGGACGACCTGGTGGGGCAGGTGCTAGTACAAGGGAGGTTGGGGACAGGGATCATGAAATGATCCAGTTTGCTATTCAGAGGAAGGTGGGGAGGGGAACTAGCACAGTGCAAGTGCTTGACTTTAGGAAAGCCAACTTCAATGCGCTCAGGGCAGTAGCCAGGGAGGCACTCAGAGCCCAGGGGTAGCTAGTCTGGGGGTCCAGGAAAGGTGGTCCTTCCTCGAGGAGGCTATCCTTGGGGCGCAGCAGGATGCAATTCCTCTGCGCAGGAAGGCAGGAAAAGGGTCCAAGAAACCTTCATGGCTGAGCGCGGATATTCAGGCTGGCCTGAGGGCAAAGA